CACTTAAAAAAAAAAACTCAAGGTTCATCCATGTTACACAGGTGTCAGAATTTCCTTCCTTTCTGAGGCTGAATATGATTCCATTGTAAAAAAAAAAAACATTTGATTTATCCATCCATCCTTCCATCAAAAAAAAAAATGTTTCCCCCTCCGGGTTATCATGAATATGAAAAAAAAAAAATGGTGTGCAAATATCTCTTCAAGATCTTGAAAAAAAAAAAGTGCAGAGACTCACGACTGTAATCCCTGCAAAAAAAAAAAATGAAGTGAGTGGATCACCTGAGATCAGGAGAAAAAAAAAAACCTGGCTAACATGGTCAAACCCCATCTCTAAAAAAAAAAAAAAAAACTAACCAGGCCTGGTGCCGGACACTAAAAAAAAAAACTACTTGGGAAGCTGAAGCACAAGAATCGCAAAAAAAAAAAAGATAGAAGTTGCAGTGAGCCGAGATGGCGAAAAAAAAAAACAGCCTTGGAGACAGGGTGAGACTCCATCTCAAAAAAGAAAAGAACCGGGCATGGTGGCTCACACCTGTAAAAAAAAAAAAATGGGAGGCCGAGACGGGCGGATCACGAGGTAAAAAAAAAAAGACCATCCAGGCTAACACGGTGAAACCCCGAAAAAAAAAAAAATACAAAAAATTAGCCGGGTGTGGTGGTGAAAAAAAAAAATCCCAGCTACTCAGGAGGCTGAGGCAGGAGAAAAAAAAAAACCTGTGAGGTGGAGCTTGTAGTGAGCTGAGAAAAAAAAAAAGCACTCCAGCCTGGGTGACAGAGCAAGACTAAAAAAAAAAAAATAAATGAATAAATAAGAAAAGAAAAAATAAAAAAAAAAAAATTCTTTTGGGTAAATCTTCAGACATGAGAAAAAAAAAAAATAAGGTAGTTCTATTTTAATTTTTTGTTGAAAAAAAAAAAATTATTAATTTTGACTATTGGTAGAGACAAGGTCTCACCATGTTGCCTAGGCTGATCTCAAACTCCCGGCCTCAAGCAATCCTCCCACCTCAGCCTCCTGAAGTGCTGGGATTATAGGCATGAGCTACCGCACCGGATCCATATTTATTATTTAAAAAAAAAAATATTTCCGTGCTTACGTGTTTTGTCAGCCAAAAAAAAAAAATTCCCATTTCACAGCAGCAGCGCTGTAATTAAAAAAAAAAATTCTCCCTAGTGCAACGCAGTTTGTTGGGAAAAAAAAAAAATAGCTTTGCCTTCTAGCCAAGGAGAGTCCTAAAAAAAAAAAAGGCTAATCAACTTCCTTTCTTGTTCTGGAAAAAAAAAAAATGCCTAGATTCAGGCAACGACAAAAAAGAGTTGGAGCTTATTCATACAGTTCCAGTCTTGAAGAGTGGCAAAAAAAAAAAAATTTCTAGATCCTGGGAGCTGTTATGGTCTCAAAAAAAAAAAAAGCCCCGTCTCCAGGCTTCCTCTGAGCCACCCAGTGTCATTTTAGTAAATCCTCTTCTGATGTCATGAGCAAAAAAAAAAATCTGTTGCTTACAATTTGAGAATCTTGGGTTGGGTCCACTTGTGCTGACTCACAGATTCCTTGACAGAATTAAAAAAAAAAACTGCTTTTTGTTTGTTTGTTTGTTTGTTTAAAAAAAAAAAATCACTCTGCCTCCCAGGCTGGAGTGCAGTGGGGCAATCTCGGCTCACTGCAACCTTGACCTTCTGGGCCCAAGTGATCCTTCCACCCCAGCCTCCTGAGTAGTTGGGACTGCAGGTGGGCACCACCAAGCCCATTGAATTTTTTCATTTTTAGTGAAGATGGGGTCTCAGTATGTTATCCAGGCTGGTCCCAAATTCCTGGGCTCAAGTGATCCTCCTGCCTCAGCCTCCCAAAGTGCTGGAATCACAGGCGTGAGTCACCGTGCCCGGCCTGGTTTACCTTCTCTAGAATGTCCTCTCTGGTTTGGTCTGCTAACGGTCTTTCTAGCTTTAGTGCTACACTAATTTATTTTCATTTCAAAAAAAAAAAATTATCTGGACAGGATCTGAGGAGGGAGTAAAAAAAAAAAAGTTTGGTAAGTCTGCTTGAACTGCTTGTCAAAAAAAAAAAACTGGTGATGACAGGGAGGAAAATAAATGTGAAAAAAAAAAAGTAGAAATGCCCTCCTTTCCCTTCTGCCAAAAAAAAAAAAATCAGGACACATGCACTTCCTTTTAGACAGAAAAAAAAAAAATCGCCCAGGCTGGAGTGCAGTGGTATGATCTCAGCTCACTGCAGCCTCCGCCTCCCGGGTTCAGGCGATTCAAAAAAAAAAACCTCCTGAGTAGCTTGGATTACAGGTGTGTAAAAAAAAAAACGGCTAATTTTTATATTTTTAGTGGAGATGAAAAAAAAAAAACGTTGGCCAGGCTGGTCTCGAACTCTTGAAAAAAAAAAAACTCCCCTCCTCGGCCTCCCAAAGTGCTTGGAAAAAAAAAAAGAGCCACCGTGCCCAGCCACGTGCACATTTAAAAAAAAAAATCTCTGATTGAAACCAAACAAATACATTTAAAAAAAAAAAAACCAATGGAGCACACTCATTGCCGTGTGCAAAAAAAAAAAAATCAAAGGATTTGATTTCTTTGAAAGTGAAAAAAAAAAAAACTGTGAGCTTTATAAAAATGGTATCACGTAAAAAAAAAAAACCTGCGTTCCTTTTTTTTGAGACAGAGTCTAAAAAAAAAAACCAGGCTAGAGTGCGGTGGCGTGGTCTCAGAAAAAAAAAAACTCCGCCCTCAAGTTCAAGCGATTCTCCTGAAAAAAAAAAACGAGTAGCTGGGATTACAGGCACCTGCCACAAAAAAAAAAAAATTTTTGTATTATTATTTGTCAGTTTAAAAAAAAAAAAAAAAAACCCAACCCAGTAGAGATGGGGTTTCACCACATGTTGGTCAGGCTGGTCTCAAACTCCTTACCTTGTGAAAAAAAAAAATTGGCCTCCCAAAGTGCTAGGATTACAGACAAAAAAAAAAATGCATTCTTAAGAGTAAATCAACATTATGCTTTTAGGATTCATGTATGGTATTAACATGGAGCTGAAGTTTAAAAAAAAAAACCGATGTACTATATGAAAATACAATTACACAAAAAAAAAAATAATAACATGTGAGTAGTGTTTTGGGTTGAAAAAAAAAAAAGAGGTGTGATTGTACTTTATTTATTTTATTAAAAAAAAAAAAGACAGGGTCTCAGTCTGTTGCACAGGCTGAAAAAAAAAAATGCAATCGTAGCTCATTGCAGCCTCGAACTAAAAAAAAAAAGCCATCCTCCCATCTCAGCCTCCTGAGTAGAAAAAAAAAAAGGCACGTGCCACCACACCTGGCTAAATTTTAAAAAAAAAAACGTGTTGCCCAGGCTGGTCTTGAACTCCAGAAAAAAAAAAATCCGCCTGCCTCGGTTTCCAAAAGTGCTGGAAAAAAAAAAATGAGCCACCGTGCCTGGCTGTTGCTGTGCTTTGGAACGTTTCTTTCGTATGTGTCAAATCTGATATTTAAAAAAAAAAAAAATCTGTGGAATGATGGCACTTCACAACCTCTAAAAAAAAAAATAAAATAAACTCTTTATTAGACCCAATTCTAAAAAAAAAAACTATTTCAGTGTGGGTCAAATTTTGTCCCTAAAAAAAAAAACTATTTTTAACACCGAGGAGGAATACAACTAAAAAAAAAAACACAGGCTGTTGCTGTGCGAGGACAGCCCTAAAAAAAAAAACTTTGCAGTAATCTTGCCAGCAGCTGGCGCAAAAAAAAAAATTTAAAACACTGACCTCAGGCCCCAGGCCTAAAAAAAAAAATACATCCTGCCTGCCCCTGGAAAGGCAGATTTTAAGTAGCAGAATGAAAGAAAAAGCCGATCAGTTGATTTAAAAAAAAAAAACCCTCTATGCAGATAGCTTCAATTCATTTAAAAAAAAAAATCAGTTGCTTTTTTAAAGTTTTATTTTAAAAAAAAAAAAAATAATTATATATACTTAGGGGGTGCAATGCGAAAAAAAAAAACACGTAAACACTGTGGAATGAAGAAGTCAGAAAAAAAAAAACATCCATCGCCTTAAATATTTATTTATTTAAAAAAAAAAAAATTGAGATGGAGTCTTGTTCTTTCGCCCAGAAAAAAAAAAAGTGGCGCGATCTCTGTTCACTGCAACCTCCAAAAAAAAAAATCAAGCAGTTCTCATGGCCTCAGTCTCCTGAAAAAAAAAAATTACAGTGCGTGCCATCACACCCAGCTAATAAAAAAAAAAATAGTAGAGACGAGGTTTCACCATGTTGGCCAAAAAAAAAAAGAACTCCTGACCTCAGGTGATCCACTTGCCAAAAAAAAAAAAAGTGCTAGGATTACAGGTGTGAGCCACCACGCCCAGCCTCAAATATTTATTATTTATTTGTGGTGAGAACAAAAAAAAAAATCTGTTTTCACCATTTTGGAATATACAATAAAAAAAAAAAAACTATAGTTAATAGTTGTACAACAGAACACAAAAAAAAAAACCTACTGTCTAATGGAAACTTTGTACCCATAAAAAAAAAAATTCCCTCACCTCTCCTACTACTACTCAGGAGGCTGAGACAGGCGAATTGCTTGAACCCAGGGGGTGGAGATAAAAAAAAAAAGAGATTGCGCCACTGTGCTCCAGCCTGGGTAAAAAAAAAAAACACCGTCAAAAAAAAAAGAAAAAAAAAAAAAAAAAAAAAAATGAAAAGCAGATCTGGCTCTAATGCTTAGAAAAAAAAAAAGCCCCTGCTGCCTTTGAGAATGGTTTGGTTAAAAAAAAAAACCGTGCAGAGATCTCTGCTCCCTGGATTAGAACCTTAAGCCTGTGCTTGTTCATTACACAAGTATTCTGGAAAAAAAAAAAACAAGGGCATTTAAAACACATGAAGGTAGTGTTGCGTAAAAAGCAAGCTCTTGTGTTCAGCAAATATAACCGAAAAAAAAAAAACAGCGTCACTCACTCGCCGAGAGGGGAGCAAAAAAAAAAACTGTCTCCAGTGGAATACAAGCAATGGACAAAAAAAAAAAAAACTCCATGGACTTTGGAGAATTCGTGGATGTGTTTGGGAATGTCATTGAAAGATGTCCTCTGATTGCAGCAAAAAAAAAAACCCAGCGACCATTCTCTGATTTGGAAGATTTAAAGAAGCACTTTTTTGCCTTTATTGATGCCCTTCCACAGAAAAAAAAAAATTCAGTATCAGACATTCTCTGCAAAGGGATAAAAAAAAAAATTATCAAAATATTTTTAGATATTGGCCAGGAAAAAAAAAAACCCAGCATTTTGGGAGGCTGAGATGGGAGGAAAAAAAAAAACCAGGAATTTGAGACCAGTCTAGGCAACATGATGAGATCTGTCACTGCAAAAATTGTTTTTAGCCAGGCATAAAAAAAAAAACCTGTAATCCCAGCACTTTGGGAGGCCAAGGTGGGTGGATCACAAGGTCAGGAGATGGAGACCATCCTGGCAAAAAAAAAAAAACCCCATCTCTACCACAATACAAAAAATTAAAAAAAAAAAGTGGCATGCACCTGTAGTCCCAGCTACTTGAAAAAAAAAAACAGGGGAATCGCTTGAGCCCGGGAAGTGGAAAAAAAAAAAAGCCAAAATTTCGCCACTGCACTCCAGCCTGAAAAAAAAAAAAGACTATCTCAAAAAACAAAACAAAAAAACAAAAAAAAAAACACAAAAATTGTTTAAAAAAATCTATCTATTGGCGAGGCGCGGTGGTTCACGCCTGTAATCCCAGCACTTTTGGGAGGCTAAGGCGGCGGATCCACAGGTCAGCGAGAGGAGACCGATCCCTGGTTAACACGGTGAAAACCCGTCCCTACCTAAACAATACATAAAACTAGCCGGGCCCGAGGTGACGGGCACCTGTAGTCCCCCAGCTTACTCGGAAGGTCTGAGGCAGGAAATGCGTAACCCGGGAGGCGGAGCTTACAGTGAGCCTGAGATCCGCCACTGCACTCCAGCCTGGTGACTGAGCAAGACTCCGTCTCAAAAAAAAAAAAAAAAAAAAAAAAAAAAAATCTCTCTCTCTCTATCTCTCTAGATATTTTAGTATAATTCCTTATACTTGATGTGTTTATTGAGCTCTTTCCTTTGGAAGGTTCAGTAAGTTTCCTCAGGTCTAGTCCGTGAGAGTCAAGCACTTGCGTGGTTTAGGCCAGACATGGACTGGAAGAACGCGTTGGCTAAGGTAAGTGGCTGTTAAATATTAGAGCTTTGAGGTGACAAGGAGGAACCTGGCAAAAGACATCAGAGTGATTCAGAGGCTAAAGGCCAGGCTGAGGGCCCACCCTCTCAGCCACCCCATCTGGCTTGGGAATGTCCTGTATGTGACAGAGAGGACAGCTGGATACAGACTATCTCCAGGGCCCAGGGGAAAGGGCAATCGGCTGACTTTTGTACCAGAAAGGGCCAGTTTGGCCTGGACGGCCGAGGAGAGTGAATTCATTCAGATCAGCGCCTCCCCGAGGGATGGAGGGAAGGAGGAGAATCTGAAGGCGTCTCTCTGGAGAAAGGGAAAGAAGTTACTGATTTCTTCTGTGGAGAGAGAGAGAAAATGAGGCACTTCTGGGTGTGGGGTAAGGAGAAGAGGGGGTGACTCCAAATGACACACGCAGCTTCACAGAGACCAGGCTGCCTCAGGGGCTGTCCTGGATGCTCTGTGGAGAAACCTGAAATGTGCCAAAGGAGTGGCCAGGGCCAGAGAGGCCTCTGTGGATGTCTGGGTGGGGAAGGAGAGCCCCTGCTCTCTTCTCCCAAAGGAAGCCAACAGACACTGCTGCCTATCAGCGTGGGCTTTGACAGCCAGATGGCTTCGGACTGTCCCAAAGACGTCTCCAAAATGAGGAGCTCCTTTTAATTCATTTGAGGCTCATCTAGGAAGAGCAGAGGATGCTGTAAAATCAAACGGACAGGAATGTCGGGGCCATGTGGACACTCACCCACTTCTGGGGGCCTCTCCACAGCTGAGGACTTCAGCTCCTCCACTGGGGGCCATCACTGGAGCCTTCTGACCCTTGACTCACAGGGACAGCCCAGTCCCCCAGCCTGATGAGTGAAGGGACCACAGCCTCCCAGCTGAACTCCTGCAGGGCAGGCTGGAAGGAGCAGGCAGCCCTGGAGCCCACCCTCCCAGTGTCTGACGGGAAGATAGAATAGAGGAGGCAAAATGACAGCCTCCCAGGAAAGTAATTTCTTTTCAAGAAAAAAAAAAAAGAGAGACAAATCCTTTGATTGTCTTAATACCCAAAGGAGTGGTGAGGCTGAGGAGGGAATGTGTTAAGAGAGAAAGCTAAGATTGCGTGAATAATTTAAATCTATTATTCTTGGGTTTGGCTAGTTATTTAACACACATTTTGGGGGCTTTATTACTCTGTGTCCAGAACTTTGATAAAAACATAAAAATTTCTCCATTTTCATCTTATTTCTCACCAACACTCCCCACAACCCGTCTGGCCAGAGGTTCTAGCTACGGGTCAATCCAGTCAGGGCCCTGAGCACAGTGGTGTGTGGACAGCACTGAATGTGGGCTACCCCCACTCCCGAGGCTTGTTTTGATGCCCCCGTGACTTGATGAAACCTCTGTCTCCTGGCTAGTGTCAGAATCCCAGATCATAGACTGAACCGGATATTGGGACTTAATCAAGGTTTGCTGAATGAATGCATGACATTTCCAAGGTGATGTTGAAAAATGGGGATTCTGGCATTCCCCTCTCCCCCACACATTTTAACTGGGTGACTTTAGTGGTAGGTCAGTGGACAAAATGGCTGGAGGGGGTTTGGGCCCCCTGGACGGTTGTTGGCGTCTGCAGTAGACACGGTTCTGGGGAGGAGCTCCCTGTGGTGAAGGCTGCCTCTCAGTTCTGCACTTGTCTGGGGCAGCTGGGGGCCTCAAAGCTGTCTGGCGGCAACTCCTCATCTTAACATCTCAGTGACAGTAGATAAGTGATGTTATCAATAGTGACAATAACAACAACAAATAGCTAAAATGTATTGAACTTTTACTCCTGGTGTGTTTCAGGCACTTTTCCGAAAACTTTGCACTTGCTGACTCATTTAATCCTCTAATGTCCCTATAAAATAAGGAATAGTATTATTATTGCCCCCAGTTTTACCGATGGGAAGACTGAGGCACACAGAGATTAAGTAACTTGAGCAAGGACACACTACTAGAAAGTGGCAGGACTGGAATTCTAACAACCCTGAGGGTCAACCCAACAGCTTGTGAAGAAAGTGGCAGAACTGGGAGTCAACCCAACAGGTTTTGAAGGCTTTTTCCAGACAATGAGAAATAAAGTCTAGAAACAGTTTTTAGGGTTTTCATTCATTTATCCACTAATGTATTTGATTAACATAAATGCTTGATGTTCTAGGCCCCATGTTTTATTGTTTAAATAATCAAATAAAATGATCTATTTCACAGCATGGTGACTATAGTCAATAATAATCTTTTTATACTTGGAAATTGCCAAGAGAGTAGGCTTTAAAAAAATTTTTTTTTAAAATTGAGGCAGAGTCTCACTCTGTCACCCAGGCTAGAGTGCAGTGGCACCATCTTGGCTCACTGTATCCTCACCCTCCCGGGTTCAAGCGATTCTCCCGCCTTAGCCTCCCTAGTAGGTGGGATTACAGGCACCCGCCACCATGCCAAGCTAACTTTTCTATTTTTAGTAGAGATAGGGTTTCATCATGTTGGCCAGGCTGGTCTCAAATTCCTGACCTCAAGTGATCTACCCACCTTGGCCTCCCAAAGTGCTGGGGTTACAGATGTGAGCCACCTTGCCCCACCTTCAAGAGAGTAGATTTTAAATGTTCTTACTACCAAAAAATGATAAATATGTGAGGTGATAGATATAGTAGAAAGCTTGACTTCATCATTTCACAATGTATACATATATGGAAAACATCAAGTTGCACACCATAAATACATATAATTTTTATTTATCAAAAAAATCCAATAAAATGGGTTTTTTGTTTGTTTGTTCATTTGTTTTTTTGAGAAGGAGTCTTGCTCTGTCATCCAGGCTTCAGTGCAGTGGCACAATCTCAGCTCACTACAACCTCTGCCTCCCGGGTTCAAGCGATTCTCCTGCCTCAGCCTCCCTAGTAGCTGGGACTACAGGCACACACCACCAGGCCCGGCTAATTTTTGTATTTTTACTAGAGATGGGGTTTCACCTTGTTAGCCAGGATGGTCTCGATCTGCTGACCTTGTGATCCACCCACCTCAGCCTCCCAAAGTGCTGGGATTACAGGCGTGAGCCACCACACCCAGCCTTAAAATGGGATTTATTACAGTCTAGCTTTACCCTTTGGATAGTAAGAAACAAACTGGGTGAAATAGATTCTTTGAATCCTAAAACTAAGGTACCTTAGAGAGACGTTCAAGTTACAGTGGTCTACCTAGTCATGTATTTGTTTTGGTGACTGAAGAAAAACCTCCACCATTAACAGAAAACAAAATTGGGTTTCTAGACTAAGGTTGAGTCCATTTAGGTTCTGCTATGATGATTATTGGCCAGTAGGTGGCAGTCCAGGATTAATATTGAGCTCTAGTGCTATTGGGCAAAGTACCTTCTCCAGCCACTCAGTTCCTATAGATTAAAGATGAGGCAAAGGTTTTCCAGGAAAGAGAACTGACAACTAGTAAAGGGAAGAAAGTTGAAACACACATGCACTAACCTGAACAAATTCAGGACGTATTTGTGTTATAAAATTAAAGAGCAATACAACTTTCATAAGAGTTAATTAACTGTGCATTTCCGCTGGCTATGGTGACTCACACCTGTAATCCCAGCACTTTGGGAGTCTGAGGTTGGAGGATCGCTTGAGCCCAGAAGGTTGAGGCCACAGTGAGCCATGATTGCACCACTGCACACCAGCCTGGATGACAGAGCAAGAACCCTGTCTCAAAAGAAAAAAAAATGTACATCTCTGTGCCTTTCAGAATTATAGTAATGCCACAATTTATTACTTTATGCTTATTAAACAACATTTTTGTGGAATGAATGGTGTTGGATACTAATAAGTTCCTTATAATACAGGCTATGAAGGTTTTAGATCAAGCTATTAAAATATGTTTGTTTATTCAGTCAAAAAAAAAAAAAAAACACTCCTTACCAAAAGTGCTGTGTTGGTCAAAAAATACTCACTGAGTGCCCACTGTGCCC